ATTATTATTATTATTATTATTATTATTATTATTATTATTATTATTATTATTATTATTATTATCATTATTATTGTTATTATTATTATTATTATTATTATTAGTAGTAGTAGTAGTAGTAGTATTATTATTATTACTCACGAAAATTCTCCAGTCTGGACCACAGAACCGTTAGTACCGGAGGGAGAGCCAGAACTGGACATGGTGATACCGTTGCCAGTCTTCACGTTGACGGTAAACGTTCCATTGTTGTCGTTTGTGCGCTTGTCCTCAAGGATGGGCACAACTGTGGTATTGTGGTCAGACGGAACTGAGGCTTCGGAGGCAGCTAAGTGTGAGGCCCTGGGGGCACCGAAGGCCACAGCGCACACGGCAGCAGCGAGGATCACCTGTGACGGAAGATTTACGGATTGATGTTTTTAAAAAAAAGAATTGTGAACACAGAACGTACATGAGTTAACACACACTTAAACATGCATACATTCGACTTCAGTATTATTATCACGAAATTCAGATAACAAATTTAACATTTTGCTCATGAACTTTGAATTATTAAAACAAAGAATGAATGATAAAAAGGAAAAATCCTCCGCCTATGTGAAGAGTGCGAAGTACTTACAAACTTCATCATGGTGGTTTCTGCGAGACTGGTACTAACACTTAATCTAACGGAGTATATATACACTCGAGAAAGTACGCCCTTGGTAGTGACATTGTTACCATTCAGCTCTACCTGCTATGAGATCTCTATTTCAATTAAATTATGCATCGCAGTAGCTTCCAGAAGGCGTATTAGGCTTTGCTTGAGAATATTTGATTACCCTATAGAAAAATCCTTGGAGTTCGAGTCGTACAAATAATAAAAACATTAATCAATCGAGGCTATTTGTATTCACATAGGTGACGAGCAGTCTCTGCCCTTCCCGATAATTAGACTACCGTTTTAAGTCTCAGACAAGTACCAGTTTGGTTCCTCTGAAATTCTTCTTTAGTTAGATCAGAGCATCCGTGGTAGGACGGTGGTCACAAACTCTGGGCCCATGATCGAACCGACAATGATCCTTATGAATGAAATGGTATTAGTCATACTACTGAGGTGTCTAGTTAATATGAAAGAGATGAAGGAAATAAAGAAATTGGAGGGAAATAAATTTTAAATCCTTTTGAATAATAATGTTGTCCTCTTCACAGGCGTTGCAAGTTAAACTGAACAGAGATAACAGCGAAAACACAATTCATCTGGTCGCATAAGGTCCTAATGTGGCTCGATTTGTGAGAATCCCTAACTTTGGGGAAAGGATAAATGGCATAATAACTTTCGAGGAAATTATGTCGGATCCCAACTATTCATTTGTATATTTTTTTCTTCTCTGTTAACACTAATCAGAGTTATGTACTTTGTTAAGTATTTTATCATACAAAATCTATTATTTTCAAAAAATAACAATACAAATAGAAAAGGATGATAGGTTGTAGATTTCTTCGATCTCCTCAGATGTCGTAACGGGACCTGAGGATGCAGTGGATATTTTCTCTCTTTATACGCACAATGAGAAGCAGGAACACAACGTCGCAGTCCTAGAGACTCTTCTAGTTTGGATCTGCTTGGAACCTAAATTCCATAATAAACCTCATGCGATTTTACCCCAGAGCCATACGTCTCTGATCCGATTTGGACAAAGGTCTTGTTCCATGTATTTAATGGACAAGGTCATTTCCTGTGGAAGAAGCATCATTGGCTTGACAAGTAGAAGAGTGAAATTAATGTTAGTGTCAGCGGCAAAGTATAATCCAATCTGGACAATCAACAGAGACAAAAAATTCCCCGGACATCGGACAATTGAGTTCACTAATAGACACTGGTCTGTACAGAGGCTCCATTTAATATTTTTGTCGTGCCTTGTACGTTGCACTATGGGTTTTCTGCAGTTCAGATCATGCAACACATTCTCATATGCTTCAGCCTCATCGCAAATACCCATGTCAACCGTCTGGATTGGTGAAGCATGGCGGAAAGCTGGTGTTAAGCCCCCCGCTTTGACTGGACGGGAGAGAGTCTTATTTCATGCAGGTCGGTGTTCAATCCTCGACCGTCCTAGTGGTTGGGCACCATTCCTTCCCCACGTCCCATCCTAAAACCTTATCCTGACCCCATGAAAATGTTATAAAGTCACAATGTCTTGGTTCTTTCCCATGATATTTATAAATTGTGTTAGGTGTCCTAGACGCAGGAAGAAAATGCAATGGTAATAGTTTAACTAGGCTGTAGAAAGTAAGAATAGCATTAAGCACAGCGGCCAATCTCGTTACCTGAATGCCACAACGACCAATCTCGGTACCGGAGAGACATGAACATGTTTCAGAGCCGATGTCAGTCTCGATTTATGAATATGTCATCTATAACTGATTTGTTGCACATAATAAGAACTCGCTGGTGAAAATGAATAACGGAACAAGGCCCTCATACCAGGGTTTACAGCTATGTAACGTGAACAAATGAATTCCAAGCTTGTTTCTGTTGACAAATGTAAAGAATCTTATATTTAAGCTCCAAGTGAAAAGGCCTAATATTTATAAAACGTCGTGTAGCTGATGGAAGTAAATAAAGAGAAGTACATACTAGTAATAATACAGCGAATAATTTGAGAGTTAACTGAAGAGCAAAATTATCCACATGATTTTATTACTCATTTAAAGATTATTTATTACAGATTGTAGACTTGGGTTCCTCTCGCAGATTTTAAAAGTTACCTTCGACACCTATTCTGAACATCCAACTCTTGAATATTGCGTTCAGTTTTTGTCTTAATATCGGCCGTTGTTTGATATCTAAGAAACAAAAGGATTTTCTTGGAGAAAAAATCTATCATTAACATTAAAAAATTTGAACAGTTTTAGAGTTTTTAAAAAAGGACGATAATGAGATAACGGTAACTTAACACAAGAACGCAAATGTATTTAAGAGCATGATTAACGATTCAGTGAAGATTGTTATGTATAAGCCAAACAACGCACGCATTTCTTTTAATTTAATCGACTTTAATTGTTTGCTCCCGAGAGATTTTCAGTTTAATTGTTGTACATTTTTGGGAGATGTGATGTCACTGTCTTGATTTAAGCATATGTAAATCATTGACCGTAACTAGTCAGACTTGAAATGTAGTGTCAAAACTTAGTAACCAATGATATTAATACATATTTTGATTCCATGTACTCAAGAACAAAAAAATGAATTTTATTTCTGGGACATTCTTAAATATAAATATTAATGTCGTTTGTAGTTCAATTATAACTGTTTTTGATAAGTTGAAGAAGTTATTTCTATTTGTTCAGTATTATTACCGTTCCATGTTGGTATATCTGCATGAATTTTAACATTAACTTTGTTATTGTAAATGTCACGGCTATACATATCATGTACATTTACCTTATTCATTGACAACAATATATTGCTAAAGTAATTTTTATAATAAAATTTCTTAAATGATATATTAATATCATTGTTGTTATATTTATCATAATTTTTTACAAGTCACTTAAAGTTTTTTAAGTATGCAAGGTACAGCTGCACTTTTTTCAGTCCAGTTATCTGTTGCAATGCGGAAATTTTATACCCTTATTGAATGCCTTCGTGTGGTATTAGCCATTGAATTATAATACATGGTTATAATTAAATTATAATACATTCAAATATTAACGTTGTTGAAGTGTATATATTATGATTTATTACGTTTTATTATTATGATTCATATTATTATCATTATTTTTGTTATTATGAGTTTAATAATATATAAGACAGCTGAAACTGTTGCACAATCGAGGTACATCTTTAACTTGGTAGTAGAAGTCTAAGAGGAATATGTCTCTGGCGACTAGAAATTAAATAAGACTGCGCACGATATCACTGATGTTATGCATAAGGCAAATGAACTTGAAATTTCCCTCTTTGCCCTAAAACAGTTAAGAGCAAAAGGGTTATTATTACGTTAAAAATTCGACCATTAGCATTACACGTCAAACTAACTATTTTGCTATTAATGCATGACAAAATAAAGAGGAAATGCAGAACGCGGAATTTTTGAAAGCTACAATAATTAATGGAAATACTGGAATAGACGAAGAGAAGCAATCTTGAGGCATAACACTAATGATTCAACACTAACAGTGAGAGAGGGAGAGAACAATCTTATGAATGTCTCTCCCTCTCTATGCATAATTTAACTCATTAGAGAAAGAGCGTCTCCAGGAAAGAAAGAATTTATCAGAATTAGCTTTTAGTCATACATATGGAAATTACAGTACTTAGGTGTTACAGGTCCTTCGTTACACTGAATATATTAAATAAAATAACAATAATAAGATATAATAATTATAATGAGAAATCCATAGGAGCCGTGATGAAGGTTCGAACCTATGCTATAGGTGTTTCCATGCATCAGGCTCCTACGGATTTTCTCATTGACACATCACGTTAGTGTTATTACTCTGTGTAATACCAACAATAATTATTGATTGTGTCAGGGGGGGGGGGTTAGACAGCCAGTGCATATATAATTATTAGGGTTATATCGCCATGCCCATCAAGGACGAACTACTGACCCTTCCCCGTATGCAACCCCACAACAAGCTAACTCCTGGGTACATATTTACTGCTGGATAACCTGAGACAATAGGTAATAGGAAACACGTCTAATCATTTCTGCCCCGCCCGAAACTCGAACCCTGAATTTTCCAGTGTGAGTCGAGAAGAAACGCGACTGTACTTCCGGGAATTTCAAATGCACAGTGTAATAATTATTTGACAATGTTTTAATGAACGTTCTAAAAAGTTGCGGACAACAGATAATAAAACATATAGATAAATGAATATTATTTTATTAGGCATCATTTTTCCAATAAAATTAAAAGTAAAATAAATACAAGTAATACAGTTACGAAAGTTATAGTTTCAGCTGAGTAACACCAAGGAGCAGCAGCAGCAGCTGCAGGTGTTGGGTGAAGGTCTATGACAAGGAAGCTGGGTTCTCAAAGACGGCCTCAGCGAAGGCCAAGGAGCTAGCAGCGTCTTCCTTAGCGGCGAAGGCGATCTGGTCCAGCACAAACTGGGCGATTGGGTGGGGGAAGGCAGGAGCCACCGGTATCATGTTGGACTGGGGCTGGAAGCCATTCTCATCAGCAACGAACTTCACCGTGACTGGGGTGCCGTCAGGGGCAGTGTAGCTACCGGAGGAGACATAAGATATTAACTACTTTTGTAACTACATATATTACTAAAATTACATTAAAATAAGTATAATTTTATTTTTATTATTATTTGTATTATTATTATTATTACTCACGAAAATTCTCCAGTCTGGACCACAGAACCGTTAGTTCCGGAGGGAGAGCCTGACTCGGACATGGTGATACCGTTGCCAGTCTTCACGTTGACGGTAAACGTTCCATTGTTGTCGTTTGTGCGCTTGTCCTCAAGGATGGGCACAACTGTGGTATTGTGGTCAGACGGAACTGAGGCTTCGGGGGCAGCTAAGTGTGAGGCCCTGGGGGCACCGAAGGCCACAGCGCACACGGCAGCAGCGAGGATCACCTGTGACGGAAGATTTACGGATTGATGTTTTTAAAAAAAAGAATTGTGAACACAGAACGTACATGAGTTAACACACACTTAAACATGCATACATTCGACTTCAGTATTATTATCACGAAATTCAGATAACAAATTTAACATTTTGCTCATGAACTTTGAATTATTAAAACAAAGAATGAATGATAAAAATGAAAAATCCTCCGCCTATGTGAAGAGTGCGAAGTACTTACAAACTTCATCATGGTGGTTTCTGCGAGACTGGTACTAACACTTAATCTAACGGAGTTTATATACACTCGAGAAAGTACGCCCTTGGTAGTGACATTGTTACCATTCAGCTCTACCTGCTATGAGATCTCTATTTCAATTAAATTATGCATCGCAGTAGCTTCCAGAAGGCGTATTAGGCTTTGCTTGAGAATATTTGATTACCCTATAGGAAAAATCCTTGGAGTTCGAGTCGTACAAATAATAAAAACATTAATCAATCGAGGCTATTTGTATTCACATAGGTGACGAGCAGTCTCTGCCCTTCCCGATAATTAGACTACCGTTTTAAGTCTCAGACAAGTACCAGTTTGGTTCCTCTGAATTTCTTCTTTAGTTAGATCCGAGCATCCGTGGTAGGACGGTGGTCACAAACTCTGCGCCCATGATCGAACCGACAATGATCCTTATGAATGAAATGGTATTAGTCATACTACTGAGGTGTCTAGTTAATATGAAAGAGATGAAGGAAATAAAGAAATTGGAGGGAAATAAATGTTAAATCCTTTTGAATAATAATGTTGCTCCTCTTCACAGGCGTTGCAAGTTAAACTGAACAGAGATAACAGCGAAAACACAATTCATCTGGTCGCATAAGGTCCTAATGTGGCTCGATTTGTGAGAATCCCTAACTTTGGGGAAAGGATAAATGGCATAATAACTTTCGAGGAAATTATGTCGGATCCCAACTATTCATTTGTATATTTTTTTCTTCTCTGTTAACACTAATCAGAGTTATGTACTTTGTTAAGTATTTTATCATACAAAATCTATTATTTTCAAAAAATAACAATACAAATAGAAAAGGATGAAAGGTTGTAGATTTCTTCGATCTCCTCAGATGTCGTAACGGGACCTGAGGATGCAGTGGATATTTTCTCTCTTTATACGCACAATGAGAAGCAGGAACATAACGCCGCAGTCCTAGAGACTCTTCTAGTTTGGATCTGCTTGGAACCTAAATTCCATAATAAACCTCATGCGATTTTACCCCAGAGCCATACGTCTCTGATCCGATTTGGACAAAGGTCTTGTTCCATGTATTTAATGGACAAGGTCATTTCCTGTGGAAGACGCATCATTGGCTTGACAAGTAGAAGAGTGAAATTAATGTTAGTGTCAGCGGCAAAGTATAATCCAATCTGGACAATCAACAGAGACAAAAAATTCCCCGGACATCGGACAATTGAGTTCACTAATAGACACTGGTCTGTACAGAGGCTCCATTTAATATTTTTGTCGTGCCTTGTACGTTGCACTATGGGTTTTCTGCAGTTCAGATCATGCAACACATTCTCATATGCTTCAGCCTCATCGCAAATACCCATGTCAACCGTCTGGATTGGTGAAGCATGGCGGAAAGCTGGTGTTAAGCCCCCCGCTTTGACTGGACGGGAGAGAGTCTTATTTCATGCAGGTCGGTGTTCAATCCTCGACCGTCCTAGTGGTTGGGCACCATTCCTTCCCCACGTCCCATCCTAAAACCTTATCCTGACCCCATGAAAATGTTATAAAGTCACAATGTCTTGGTTCTTTCCCATGATATTTATAAATTGTGTTAGGTGTCCTAGACGCAGGAAGAAAATGCAATGCTAATAGTTTAACTAGGCTGTAGAAAGTAAGAATAGCATTAAGCACAGCGGCCAATCTCGTTACCTGAATGCCACAACGGCCAATCTCGGTACCGGAGAGACATGAACATGTTTCAGAGCCGATGTCATTCTCGATTTATGAATATGTCATCTATAACTGATTTGTTGCACATAATAAGAACTCGCTGGTGAAAATGAATAACGGAACAAGGCCCTCATACCAGGGTTTACAGCTATGTAACGTGAACAAATGAATTCCAAGCTTGTTTCTGTTGACAAATGTAAAGAATCTTATATATAAGCTCCAAGTGAAAAGGCCTAATATTAATAAAACGTCGTGTAGCTGATGGAAGTAAATAAAGAGAAGTACATACTAGTAATAATACAGCGAATAATTTGAGAGTTAACTGAGGAGCAAAATTATCCACAGGATTTTATTACTCATTTAAAGATTATTTATTATAGATTGTAGACTTGGGTTCCTCTCGCAGATTTTAAAAGTTACCTTCGACACCTATTCTGAACATCCAACTCTTGATTATTGCGTTCAGTTTTTGTCTTAATATCGGCCGTTGTTTGATATCTAAGAAACGAAAGGATTTTCTTGGAGAAAAAATCTATCATCAACAATAAAAAATTTGAACAGTTGTAGAGCTTTTAAAAATGGACGATAATGAGATAACGGTAACTTAACACAAGAACGCAAATGTATTTAAGAGCATGATTAACGATTCAGTGAAGATTGTTATGTATAAGCCAAACAACGCACGCATTTCTTTTAATTTAATCGACTTAAATTGTTTGCTCCCGAGAGATTTTCAGTTTAATTGTTGTACATTTTTGGGATATGTGATGTCACTGTCTTGATTTAAGCATATGTAAATCATTGACCGTAACTAGTCAGACTTGAAATGTAGTGTCAAAACTTAGTAACCAATGATATTAATACATATTTTGATTCCATGTACTCAAGAACAAAAAAATGAATTTTATTTCTGGGACATTCTTAAATATAAATATTAATGTCGTTAGTAGTTCAATTATAACTGTTTTTGATAAGTTGAAGAAGTTATTTCTATTTGTTCAGTATTATTACCGTTCCATGTTGGTATATCTGCATGAATTTTAACATTAACTTTGTTATTGTAAATGTCACGGCTATACAAATCATGTACATTTACCTTATTCATTGACAACAATATATTGCTAAAGTAATATTTATAATAAAATTTCTTAAATAATATATTAATATCATTGTTGTTACATTTATCTTAATTCTTTACAAGTCACATAAAGTTTTTTGAGTATGCAAGGTACAGCTGCACATTTTTCAGTCCAGTTATCTGTTGCAATGCGGAAATTTTATACCCTTATTGAATGCCTTCGTGTGGTATTAGCCATTGAATTATAATACATGGTTATAATTAAATTATAATACATTCAAATATTTACGTTGTTGAAGTGTATATATTATGATTTATTACGTTTTATTATTATGATTCATATTATTATCATTATTTTTGTTATACTGAGTTTAATAATATATAAGACAGCTGAAACTGTTGCACAATCGAGGTACATCTTTAACTTGGTAGTAGAAGTCTAAGAGGAATATGTCTCTGGCGACTAGAAATTAAATAAGACTGCGCACGATATCACTGATGTTATGCATAAGGCAAATGAACTTGAAATTTCCCTCTTTGCCCTAAAACAGTTAAGAGCAAAAGGGTTATTATTACGTTAAAAATTCGACCATTAGCATTACACGTCAAACTAACTATTTTGCTATTAATGCATGACAAAATAAAGAGGAAATGCAGAACGCGGAATTTTTGAAAGCTACAATAATTAATGGAAATACTGGAATAGACGAAGAGAAGCAATCTTGAGGCATAACACTAATGATTCAACACTAACAGTGAGAAAGGGAGAGAACAATCAGAGAGAACAATAAGAATGTCTCTCCCTCTCTATGCATAATTTAACTCATTAGAGAAAGAGCGACTCCAGGAAAGAAAGAATTTATCAGAATTAGCTTCTAGTCATACATATGGAAATTACAGTACTTAGGTGTTACAGGTCCTTCGTTACACTGAATATATTAAATAAAATAACAATAATTAGATATAATAATTATAATGAGAAATCCATAGGAGCCGTGATGAGGGTTCGAAACCTATGCTATAGGTGTTTCCATGCATCAGGGCTCCTACGGATTTTCTCATTGACACATCACGTTAGTGTTATTACTCTGTGTAATACCAACAATAATTATTGATTGTGTTAGGGGGGGGGGGTTAGACAGCCAGTGCATATATAATTATTAGGGTTATATCGACATCCCCATCAAGGACGAACTACTGACCCTTCCCCGTATGCAACCCCACAACAAGCTAACTCCTGGGTACCTCTTTACTGCTGGATAACCTGAGACAATAGGTAATAGGAAACACGTCTAATCATTTCTGCCCCGCCCGAAACTCGAACCCTGAATTTTCCAGTGTGAGTCGAGAACAAACGCGACTGTACTTCCGGGACTTTCAAATGCACAGTGTAATAATTATTTGACAATGTTTTAATGAACGTTCTAAAAGGTTGAGGACAACAGATAATAAAACATATAGATAAATGAATATTATTTTATTAGTCATCATTTTTCCAATAAAATTAAAAGTAAAATAAATACAAGTAATACAGTTACGAAAGTTATAGTTTCAGCTGAGTAACACCAAGGAGCAGCAGCAGCAGCTGCAGGTGTTGGGTGAAGGTCTATGACAAGGAAGCTGGGTTCTCAAAGACGGCCTCAGCGAAGGCTAAGGAAGGAGCAGCGTCTTCCTTTGCGGCGAAGGTGATCTGGTCCAGCACAAACTGGGCGATTGGGTGGGGGAAGGCAGGAGCCACCGGTATCATGTTGGACTGGGGCTGGAAGCCATTCTCATCAGCAACGAACTTCACCGTGACTGGAGTGCCGTCAGGGGCAGTGTAGCTACCGGAGGAGACATAAGATATTAACTATTTTTGTAACTACACATATTACTAAAATTACATTAAAATAAGTATAATTTTATTTTTATTATTATTTGTATTATTATTATTATTACTCACGAAAATTCTCCAGTCTGGACCACAGAACCGTTAGTACCGGAGGGAGAGCCAGACCCGGATATGGCGATACCGTTGCCAGTCTTCACGTTGACGGTAAACGTTCCATTGTTGTCGTTTGTGCGCTCGTCCTCAAGGATGGGCACAACTGTGGTATTGTGGTCAGACGGGACTGAATCTTCGGAGGCAGCTAAGTGTGAGGCCCTGGGGGCACCGAAGGCCACAGCGCACACGGCAGCAGCGAGGATCACCTGTGATGAAAGATTTACGGATTGATGTTT